GGGGGGGGGGGGGGGGGGGGGTTGCGGAGAGAGGAGGTACGAGGTTAAGAAGAGGCCTCACGCTTAAAGGGTGAGCGTTTTTGCGCGTTAAACTATTAAGAATCTGTTAATTACGCGAGGCTGAGTTTTACGACTGGCGGCATTATATCGCTTGAGCCCCAGGGATCTTTTGATGGCCAGCCGACTAAACAGCTATTGTCCCACCACTGGCATCCGCGACATGCCTCGCGAGTCTATCCCCAACCCCTCGCGATCTGAATCCCGTGGGAGACAATTTCCGCTGGCCCGGGAGAGCCTCAACCCTTCAAAACGATCGAATCCCCGAGGTTTCCGCGCCGATTTCCCGGGCGTGAGGGGCCCCGCGGGACAAAATTTTTCCCGTCCGGCCCCGAGGATCGGGGGATAGCGGCGGTCGCGTGGGAGGTGATGCCCCCGAGGGGCAGGGGAGGGGGAACGTCTCAATCCACCGGGGCCAACTACCTGAGGGACCCACTGGGTCCTATCTCTTATCTCTGTCTTCTCGGAGATCCTGGGAACGGGCGGGGGGCGGGGGAGGGGAGGGACTGCAGGTGGAAGCGAGCGAGGATGACCTTAACCCCGCTAACGCTGACCCACACGATATAACCCCCTCCAGCGAGAGGTTTTATTCCCTGGGACACACCTTATCTGCATAAAGCGCAGGTGCCCACCGGCATCTTTGCACGAGACACTAGAAGGTGGAGATATCAACGCGGGACGAGTGAGAAAATGAATTATTTCAGTTTTTGTGTTGTGGAGGTATTTTTTGAATCGTTAATTTTTGCTTTTTGTAAATTCTTTTACTTCACTTTCTCTAGTTTTCACGTACTCAGAAAATTAATAACCAAAAGAAAACTTTTTCAAAAATGAATCATTTGTGTTTATGGATGAAATTAAAAAAGAAAAAAATTACTGTCCATGAAAAACTTGTTATTGTATTCAAATTGATCCCCGAAATATTCCAAGCGTATTACTCATTCAACAATTCTCTCCGCATTCCCTAAAAAATAAAGATAATACTCCCACATTTTTATCTTCATAACTCAATTTAAAACTCCCAAAGAGGCCAGAATCATTACAATTCGGGCCACGTATCACCCATCCCAGAATTAAAAACAGATGATCCCCGAGAGATCCATGAGAACATTACAAGATCCAAATTCGTCACGAGATTCTTCAATGGGGCAACCAGAGTGATGAGTTTCCGACCTTGAGTTGGATTTTTCAGGTAAAGAGAATGGAAATTTTCGGTAGTCCGCCGGTGGTCGAGGACCTTTCACCAGGTTTTGGTCATCCGTATACCCCTCCCCCCTCGCACCCTCGATAATTTTCCAAGTGTGTCTCGGCGCGCGACGAAACTGTGAAAAAAAATGTGAGGGAAAGAAAGAACCGGAACATCGCAAAGGTGAGGGAGACAAAAGAGAGGGAGTAACGTTTTTCCGTTAATCCTTGGAACGATTTAGGGTGGCCTCCCCCCAACGGAAGCCTCAACGTGTCCGGAGGTGGCCCGAGGGTGGCAGGACCTCCGGAGATTTACACCGTTCCACCGAGTTTACCGAATACTCCTAGAGAAACGTGAGCTTCATTCGAGTTGAGTCACTCACCAGTGGTTAAATAAATTCACAATTTGCTACAGTTATTATTCGTCATCATCTGACTGGCGGAACTGAGTGGGTCTGTCTCATTTTGAGTTATTCAGGTAGAATAAAGAGTCGTTATTTCGTGATTGAAAGTATTTGAGATTATTTTAATAGAATTGTTGGTTGTATTTCGCAAGTGGGAAACGGTGCAATCCACACCTATTTTATTTTACGATTCTGAAACACTTTTCTATTTATATTTCATCTACTCTAATTTTTTTATTTATTTCAGTCCTTAATTTTCACCTGCTGAGAAAATTAAAAATTAGAAGAAAGGTCTTTTGTAATTATGAACGCAAGTGGCTAAATAAATTCACAATTTGGGAATTTATTTAGCCACTTCACAATCTGAGTGGGTCTGCCACACTATGAGGTATTGAGGAGGAATGAAGAGTCGTTATTTCGCGATTGAAACGTCGAAATTTCGAATTATCGCAGGATTTGAGATTATTTCAATAGAATTGTTGGATGTATTTCGCAAGTGGGAAACGGTGCAATCCACACCTATTTTATTTTACGATTCTGAAACACTTTTCTATTTATATTTCATCTACTCTAATTTTTTTATTTATTTCAGTCCTTAATTTTCACCTGCTGAGAAAATTAAAAATTAGAAGAAAGGTCTTTTGTAATTATGAACGCAAGTGGCTAAATAAATTCACAATTTGGGAATTTATTTAGCCACTTCACAATCTGAGTGGGTCTGCCACACTATGAGGTATTGAGGAGGAATGAAGAGTCGTTATTTCGCGATTGAAACGTCGAAATTTCGAATTATCGCAGGATTTGAGATTATTTCAATAGAATTGTTGGATGTATTTCGCAAGTGGGAAACGGTGCAATCCACACCTATTTTATTTTACGATTCTGAAACACTTTTCTATTTATATTTCATCTACTCTAATTTTTTTATTTATTTCAGTCCTTAATTTTCACCTGCTGAGAAAATTAAAAATTAGAAGAAAGGTCTTTTGTAATTATGAACGCAAGTGGCTAAATAAATTCACAATTTGGGAATTTATTTAGCCACTTCACAATCTGAGTGGGTCTGCCACACTATGAGGTATTGAGGAGGAATGAAGAGTCGTTATTTCGCGATTGAAACGTCGAAATTTCGAATTATCGCAGGATTTGAGATTATTTCAATAGAATTGTTGGATGTATTTCGCAAGTGGGAAACGGTGCAATCCACACCTATTTTATTTTACGATTCTGAAACACTTTTCTATTTATATTTCATCTACTCTAATTTTTTTATTTATTTCAGTCCTTAATTTTCACCTGCTGAGAAAATTAAAAATTAGAAGAAAGGTCTTTTGTAATTATGAACGCAAGTGGCTAAATAAATTCACAATTTGGGAATTTATTTAGCCACTTCACAATCTGAGTGGGTCTGCCACACTATGAGGTATTGAGGAGGAATGGAGAGGCGTTATTTCGCGATTGAAACGTCGAAATTTCGAATTATCGCAGGATTTGAGATTATTTCAATAGAATTGTTGGATGTATTTCGCAAGTGGGACACGGTAATCCACACCTATTTCATTTTACGATTCTCAAACATGAGTCAAGGGAATTATCAGGGGGGAATATTGAACGGAAATGACATAGATAATTTTTATTTACTCTGGGCGTATGTTCTCAAACAAATTAAATTCTAACAAAAATTTATTTTTGCAAAAATTGTCAGGAGGAAGCATTAAAATGATGAATCAATAAATTTCCTTTAAATTTTTTTAATGCAAACAGAATAAGAAATCCATTGAAAGTAACAGATTCGATTTGATTAAATCAAAAAATTCTTTTTAGAATGAAAAAAACAATTTTTTTTGCAAAAATTGTCAAAACGAAATATTCAAAACATGAATTAATAAATTATTTCTGCATTCATTTGCGAATTTTTTTGTTAAAATGCGTTGAGAAAATGGAAAATATATTTCAAAAAATAAATTCTATTAGATTAAAATAAAAAATTTCCAGTGGAATAGAAAACAATATCGTAAATGATAGCATCACCAGCCGCTGTAGCTCAACAAAATAAACAAAAAAATGAAACATGTAAAAATGAGTGAAAAGGAGTTCAGTAAGTTGGATATCTCGTTTCACGTTTTAGTAAGAAATCGTGGCGTGCCGTCTCCTCGGAACACATGTAGCCCATCATAGTCAGCGATTTATGGCGGCGTAACGCCACGACAAAAACCAGTTCA